GGGGGGAGAAATGAGCAATCAGTTAAGGTACTTGATAACATTGAACTGCCTGAATGGGTATATGAAATGCTATCAATAGGCCCGAAGCATCCCATTAGAGACAAATTTAACGAAACACATTTTTTGGCTGATATCGACATTTTCCTCTCACAATTGAAGAATCAAAACACATCTGGTGAAACTTTATGTGAAATAGAAGCCGCGGCAAAGGCATATGCAAAAAACGTAAGGCAAACCCCAAGAGACAAAGCCGTTGAAAAAACGAGGAATTATCTTAAAGATAATGGATTGCTGGCTATGCCTTTTGATAAGGGGGTTGGTTTTAGACGAAACAAACGTATGAATCAAAGCTGAAATCCTTGTTGCAATCGGCTCAGTTTGTGAAAAAAGATGCAAACACTGATGAGGTGATACTGAAAATTGAGAAGGAACTTAACAAAGAATTACTAGCCATGAACAAAAGAGACGAGATAAGTGATCAGTTATATTCTAAGATGAGGTCAACAGGGGGGCAACCCTTCCGTTTGTACGGTTTAGCTAAGGTACACAAGGATGAGACACCCCTACGACCAATACTATCACTTCCAGGCAGCTCGTATGAGAATCTCAACAAAATGCTTGCAAAGTTTTTTGACAACATCGATGGAGCAAATATAGAAACCAATACTAAAGAGGCTAGAGAAACAATTGAAAACATTGCTCTAGATCCGGATGAAACCATAATATCGCTTGATGTGAAAAGTTTGTACACCAACGTTCCCCTGAAGGAGGCAATTGAATTTGCTTCACAGAAGCTGTACAGCCAGGAGTCTCCTCCTGAAATTTAAAGAGCAACCATGAAAAGGCTTTTGAATATGGCGGTCAGCCAAGTATATTTCAAGTGTAATGATTCATGGTATGTACAAGTTGATGGTTAAGCAATGGGTGCGTCCCTCGCTGTAATTCTGGCAAACTTATGGCTGAAAGAGTACGAGTTTGCTGTAAGACAAGAAACACCAGTGGGAACGGAGGTACAGCAAATGAATGACAAAAACGGCTCGTGCCCATGTTGCAGCAGGAAAGTCACATATAGATGAAAGGGAGTTGAATGCGATTGTTGCCGAAACTGGTATCATCTGAAATGCGGAAAAATATTCGTATACGCATCAATAACCGAGATAGTCTGGTACTGTGAAAGCTGCTGCCGAGCTAAGAACATGGAGAAGGATACTCCCCAGGTGAAATTGTTCCTCATGTATGTGGATGACATTGTTAGAACAGTCAGAGGGGATTCGAGTTGTCATCTCGATGCCGTCAATTCTCTTCATCCAAATTTGCAGTTCACCCTAGAGAAAACTATTTCAGAGAGGAATTTGCCGTTCCTCGATTTGAACATAAATGTATCGCAGGGTAGGCGTGTAACTTGCAGTTGGTATCAAAAACCAACAGATACAGTATAAGCGTAGTATTAGATACGTAGTATTACAACAGATACTCAGTATAAGCGTAGTATTATCCAAGGCACTGTACACAGGGTTTTTAGGAGTACATCTAGCTGGGAGCAATTTAATAAGGCCATGGAAACTAATAGGGCGCAATGGCTGACAGTTCAGTACCCTGAAAATTGGTCCGCAAAGGTGGCTTCAGACGCCTTGCGCAAGATCATTGATGGTAAGGGCAAGCCCCTGGATGATGAGAGCTGTTTGTCAGTTCAATCACCAAAGGATGGGAAGCCCCCAATGCTGATGGTGCAATATAGAGATAACCAGAGCCAGTATTTTGCTAACAGGTTACGAAAATTAACTAATCTTCAAGTGGTTTTCACCACAAGAAAACTAGAATCATGTTTACCATCACTGAAGTCGGCATTTTCTAATGACCTCAAGTCAAGAGTGGTTTATAAACTGTCATGTAGTGTATGCACTTCCACCTAGGTCGGACAAATTGTTCGACATTTGACCACTAGAATTGATTAACATAAGAAAGCAGACTCACCGGTAGGCCTCCACATTCAGCAATTCCAACTTGAGGGAAATAGCGCAGATCTTGGTTGGGAAATTATAGATAGGTCAAACAACCAAACAAAATTGCTAACACCAGAGGCAATACATATCAGGAAAGAGAAACCGGGCTTGAACACGCGCGATGAGTTTAGGAGCAGGGAGTTAACACTGAAATTGTAGTCCTAAAATATTTTTGGTCTTTTATTTAAAACGTACGTGTCTAAATCGAAATTATGACTCAGAAACTTCCAGACAAATTAATTTAAAAATGTTTAATTAATTTTAGAGGTTAAAAGTATTTTAATCTTAATAGTAATTTAGAGGTCAACTGTGATTGGCTAATTTTTTATCCTGATGGTTTAGAACCAAACTGTATGTGATTTATTGTAGATAACATTTGTAAATTGATGTTTTATCGTCATTTAGATTAGTTTATTGTAAAAATCCTGACGATGCACATAGTTGCGAAAACGTTCCAAATTTACTTTTTAGCAAAAATCTCTTCTGTCATTATTTTTTGCTTGAAGACAAAATGAATTTTCATTCACTAAGATTGGCACTATCATTGACTCGTAAAGATTGAGATTTGTTTTCCAACATAGGTATCACGCATTTCTTTTGATTAAAAAGATTAATCCTATCGCCTTTTTAGAAATTTTTTTGATGTGTTGATCATAATTAGGGTCATTTGAAAACATCAAGCCTAAATCTGATTTTTTTTCGATTACATGTTTATCAGAAAAATCTTTTCTTCATTCACAAAGTTCAGGAAAAGTAAAAGCGCAATAATGATGCCCCGCAGAACACCAGTTGTTATTTTCCATGATATTTTGTCGTTGACTCGAACAAGTTGGTTTGGATTTGTTAGTTAGGTCTTCAGCAAGGTTATTGATTTGCCTCCAATCCCGGTATCGAACAGTTTGTTCCAAAAACGCACCATGATCCACGCAATAAAACGCTTTGCTGTAATCAGTAAAGATAATGTCATTTTTAAAATTGTTTTCAATACCATTTCATACATTTTGGAGAAATATTAATAACTGATTTATTTTCGATTTGTTCTTTCGGAAGCCGAAGTGAGAGCTATGAAAATATTCTGAAAATTGGTTTTATAATCGATAAAAACAGAATATTTTCTTTAATTTCTTAGGGAACAGATAGAAGGGCACACGGCAATAATTGGGTATGTAGAGTTTCTCGTTTTATATAAAACGCAGACACTGTTGCAACTTTCTAATTTTGGTGAAAAATACTTTATATCCATGTTATTGATAGCGATACTGTAACACAAAGTGCATGGTAAAGAAAAGGTGGTATCTCGTCAGGCCCTTCAATTTCGTTAATATTCAAATTTTTTCAATTTCTCATTACTTCGCTCGTTTCTCCTTGTCTTTTTCTTGCACTAAAAAATTGATCATACATCATTAGAAGATTCAAACAAGGTTGATTTACTGTAAAGTAAAAAGAAGAGTTTTCCAATTATATCTTGTCTCAGTGAGCAAATAAATCTTTTGAGAATGCGTTAAAATTGTAAATTCAAACAAACGTTTTCGCACATTTTTGTGCATCTTCAGGTTTTAAAAATTCTAAACTATCTGTACAAAATGATCAAAGATCATAAAAAGTGTCATACTCATCATTACTAATAAATCATTTAAAGCAAATAAATCATTGTAATACATTTTTGCGGTTATTTTGTTATGCAAAAAGCTCTGAAATATTTAAAAAAGGTTTGATGTGACTCTTTTAGATGCTAAGTTATCTTTTTATTGTTATTTATCATCAGTGCTAAATTAATTAACCAATTCTTGCAAGATTTGCAATTCCTATGTGCTTCGGGTTAAGTAATGTGACGTTTTTTGTGTAATCCAGGGCGGTAAAGATTATCTAGGAGTGGTGTTTTTATATTGATTCGCGCATACCTAGTAAGCCACCCATACCATAATTCAATAAATTTGTCAGGATTTGACCAACAAAAAGGATCAAAATTGTTAGTTGCTAGGATTTCACTCAAATTATTACCCGATCACAAGAAAATGTTTCGCGCAAGAACTAATTGTAAAATCGGAATTCGTACTCGCCGTAAAGAGTTAACAAACAAAAATTGAGATAACCATTCCAACAAGCCGGAAGTTAATATTATGCAAGAGAACAACAGTTTCCTACTGTTATTATGCAATTGTTATGTACTTCTTATGTAATTTACCTAAGTCTGATGTAATTTCGGCTTCAAGACATGGTGGTTTGTAGATATGGTGGTTTGCTGAATGTCCACCTAGATAACATATGATCAGTAAGTTTCCGAAATTATTTATATAATCAACTACTGATCCGTTTGAATCAATCCCAGTTTTCCATCTTTCAGTCATGAAGTTTCGATTAACACAAATCATTGATCCACCGTGGGAGGTGGTTTGTTTTCCAGTAGACATTATATTTGCATAAAAACCGACAATGCGGCAAAATCAATTCTCTAACTAAAAAGTCATCTGTGAGCAACGTTTCTGTAACTATTAAAAAGTATTAATAGAAACTTGATTCGCCGAAGTCTTCACCATGCCAAGTTTCAGTGCATTATGACAACGTTAGATAGATAAGCTTTTCTAACTTGAATTGGAAAGCGGTGACTGGAAAAGAGCTGAGTTTTTCTAGTCACTCGGCCAACGCCACTACATGGTTCTTAACATACAAAATAATACGTTTTATTTGTACAGATTTTAGATCAATATCCACCTCTTTTTTTTCTCCTTCTTAACAGTTTTTTTTCTTTTGCTGGTCTTTGTTTAAGGATTCTGAAAGAAACACGATAATCTTTACCATTGTAGGTTGGCTCGTACAATTTGAGCCTTTTTGACCACGCTAATTATTTTTCGCTAACTAAATTGTCTCTGTTTCTGTCTGGTTAGGTCGTGTTTTCAAAGCCGGCGAAATTTTTTTGTTGCTTATTTTAAAAAAATGCCACAAACCCTGTGATGGAATTATTCTGTGTTACTTGCACAACAAGCGGGTACACGTGTTGTTGTTTTGTTTTCAGTAAGAAAAATGCCTCAATAACAGCAATCTGTGCATATGGATAAGTGAATCTAATGCAATGGACGGTTAGTCACTAAGATTTGGCTTCAAGTGAGTTTCATTAATTAATTTTCTAAAACTGCTGTGTTTTATGCTTAGCAGAACTAGTAAGGAAAATAGAAGACATCAAATCGCAATTGAATGAGACATGCAGACAAGAAAAAGAATGTAATCGACTGAAGCTTGAAAATACCATCAAGTTTCCAATGTCAGCTTTAGTACCAGATCCGCTTCATGATCAAATTGTATCCCAAATTTCTCAAAACAAACTGAACTTAATGTAAGTGATTTTCCTCTAATTTAGATGTCACAAATATAAAATTGGAATCTAATTTTTCTTTGATCACTTAGGAGTCAATTGAAGAGTAACGAATTTCGGCTTTCTCAGATGCGATATTCTCAAAACATCCACAATTTGAACAGCCACAGTGCTCATCAATTCATTCAACAGCCGAATAGCTTTACCCCACTCAGACCTTCCATGCAACAACAAAACTTCCATCAATTTTCCAGCAGAAGTGCCCATGAAATAGGTGGTCATCTCGCTAGGCCGAGGCCTCCGTTCGGTGGAAGTCTGCCACGGGGCTTGAGACCGATAGAAGTTCATCGCAATGTTGGAGGATTGCAGGAGGGAAGCAGCGAATTTATTTTTAAGAAGCCCAACGTAGATTCCAGTAATAACAGTCAAGAGTTTCTGCATCCTAGAAACCCTGCTCCATGTTCGGTCAGATTAGACAATAGTCCTCCAGGTGAAAGCAGTGACGGATACGTTGTCGTGAACCACTCCATGTTCAACCGCCATCGATATGAAACAGATCCAGAGTTCAAGGACTGGTGCATCAAGTACAACATTGTTGTCTTAAATAAGTAATTCGCTTGAGCTATTTTTTTAAAAACATTATTAGATTCGGCATTGTATAAATACCTTTTCTGTCCGAGCGCCCATGTTTGACTTTGTTTTTGTTCTTAGAAGCCCAGATAGAACAAAATTGGTCAAAGAACCTCATGTTGTGACTTCTAACCGTCTGCATGCCCCTGAAAGGAATGACCGACCTTTGCACCGTACTGTGTCAAATTACAGCAGACCTGAAGCTGCTATGGTTAATCCGCGTGATGGGCTACGCAACGGGAATTTAAGAAGCAGTTCAAATGATCTTTCTGTCATTCAGATAGATCATTACAGTCGAGGTAAGACTTAGTAGTGTCATGGTTTTGTCATGTTGGCAACTTAGCTGTACCTCCTGTGCAATTGACCCTGAATATATTTTGGAAGTTTTTATTAGAACTTCTTCTAGACTTTCGTCTACCTTCTTGGAATAATTTAATTAGTTCTAGATCTGTTTACTGGTTTCAGAGTTTTTCGACGAAAACCATGGACCCGACCCTAGTCATCCGTACTATCACATATGGTATACTAAGTTCATCAAGAAAGCACCTCGTGACTACGACGAGAGAATGCTTTCTTCAATACAAGTAGAGCCGAAACCAAATCCATTGCAGTTCAAAAAGAGATTAGATGATATGCCCCATAGAAGACTGGGTAACAGCAGTAGAAATTTCGATCACAGAGTGGCTACGCCTTCGCCACCTGAGCCGCCCTCTATGCCTCGATATCATCTTTCTAGACAAGATCATCAAGTTGCGAGGTCAGTGAGAAAATTAATTGCTCTTCAGAACGATAATATTTCAATATCAATGCGTAAAGTTTTTTCACTTTGTAATTTTCTTGTTCGCTGTAAAATTACAGGACTGATGCAATGTTCAATAAACATCCAGTAATGTCTGCAGACATAGATGAGCGTCAATCTAGTAGGGTGATATGTTCTACACCCGAACCACCGCAGCCAATAAATTCAACTCCACCTCCACCCCCTCCCCCAATGGTGCCACCCCCCGAGGCACCCGAGAAACCAGCAGATGTATACCAGTTGGACCAGATGTTGTCGGTGCCTGGAAGGAAGGAGCAACAGAGACTCAGAAATAGTCTCATCATCATGCGCGGACCTCCAGGGTCGGGGAAATCATATATCGCCAAACTCATCAAGGTCAGAAATACTTCTTCCTTTCGTAATTTAGAGTTTGTCGGTTAAAACTAAGGATCAGTTACCTTTTTCCGAGTTGTTATTGCTCATCTGAATGAACACGAGACAAATGCTCGTGGGGTATTGGCAATTATTGCTGTCATTAAATTAGCAAGCGTTATGAAGTAACATTTTTATCATTAAATCAGAAAGAAAAAAGTATATAATTGTATAAGTACAGATACAACAGTAATTTTTAAACATTTTTTTAGGAGACTAAACATTTTTATGGACTCTTTTTACAGGACAAAGAAACAGCAGCAGGTATGACTGCACCTCGGATCCTATCAATAGATGACTACTTCATGGTGTCAGACGACAGCACCCCCAAGGGAGGAAAGGGTGGGGGCATGGTGTACGAATATGAGGAGGATATGGAGACTGTCTACTTGAGTGCCCTATGTAAGGCCCTATCTAAGGTGGTGGCTGAGGGCAGTGACAGACTGATCATTGTCGATGCATGCAATCATCTCCAGGATCATTTCACGCAATTTGTCCAAGTAGCCCAGAAGTCACTTATGAAGGTAAAAGAAATCAAATCCATCTCTATCTTCAGTACATAGTAATAAAGTAATAGCAGAAGTAGTAGCCGTTTTTGTTGATATCTGAAAACAGAGATGAACACATTCCCTGCCTGCAAATTGTTGAAGGGTTACTTTTTCCGAGGCGTAATCTGCGATACAAAGTTTTTCGAAATGCAATCGTACAAATGCTATTGTTGAAGTTAAAATGCTATATAATGGCTCTACTCTTTGATTTTAAAATGATAAAAATATGAGTAATCATATTTTTTTGTACAGACGTATATAATAGAAATGCAGCCACCAATGAGTGTATGTGTGGAACAGAACATTCATGGAAGAACTGAAGTTGATATCAAGAACATCATCGAGAACTGGGAAGAGGCTCCTAACTCAATTCCAAGGCTGGACCCCTCCCACTTCATGAGTTCCAGAGCACTGGAGCAGGCTAAAGAAAATGACAAGAAGGTGGAAATGACTAAGGGAAAGAGTGCGAACAATGTAGAAGGAAGAAAGGTTAGCGCAAATTTTGTATGGGGGTTGTAGGAAATGTATGGAAAATATTTCAGCCAAAGTTGACGCTTCTAACGATGCTTATAAAACATGAGGAATGGCGACTATTCGTCGAAAGCGGCAATTCGTAGCGATGAGAAAGGCGACAATCCGTCGCGGGGCAACTGAATCAGCATTTTTGCTTAGTAGTTCTATGAAACATTCCACTTACTTTTCTCACTAAGGCATGGCTAGTTTATTCCCGTGAATTGTTAAATCAATATATTTGAACCTTTTATGTAATTCTTATTGCAAGCTGCTCTCCGTTGAATGGTCGTTTTTTAAATGCCGCCTGTGACAAATTGTCTTCCACAAAATATGATAGCGGTTTTAAAAATTTCATTCATATTTCTATAATTGAGGCATGGTAATGTTAATTCCTATAACGAATTTTGAGGCCTAGAAAAACTCATTTGTACCAAAGTTTTCATGAATAGGGAAATGTAAGCCAATCCAGCAGTAGCAGACCAGCCCCTCCAGACAAATCTCAAATTGAGCCGAGAAAGAGACAAAGGAGCGACAGCATGGAAATGTCCGACGCAGAGGACACCATTGATGACGTCATAATCCAGACGAACCCGACAACTGCGAAGAAGCCCACCAGTGAAGATTACTATCAGCCGGCGGAGCCAACAGTCTCGGTAATTATTCTCGGCACCTGTGACACCACCTTTCAGTGTGTTCATGATAATTTGAATGTGATTTCAGGTTCTAATCTCGTCATGACTGCTCGAATTCTAATGTTTTGAAGATCTTCAAGTTTTGCATCCTAAAACATTTTCCATTGGGTTTTGTTTTCGGCAGTATTTTTTTCTTGTAGTTCACTCTCTCTCTCTCTCTCTATTTACTTTGTTTTTTTTTGCAAAAAGAAGCTATTTGTTTTTATCGTTTCCGCAAACTTGTGTATTAATCAGAAAAAAAATATATATATTTTTGAATCACAAAAAAAAAGTTTTTTTATCTGTCGAGATTATAATGCGTTTTATGTACTCAGATTGGTTTCCTTTAAAGATGAAGCAGTTTGTTTATGTTTTTGCAAAATTGAGTATTAACCAAGAATTTTGATAAGCGCGTTTTTTTCTGGTTGTAACCTAATGATAGTGGTTGATGTATTTGCTTCTGCTATTTAGCCATCTCATTCTTTTGACACTCAGCAATTAGTCTGCGAGGAGTCGGACCCGCCTCTTCCGTCCAAAGTACAAACACCCAACGATTCGGACCCGTTCGAATCGGAGGGTTCGGAATCCGAGTCTGAATTTGAGTCTCGTTGCTCCTTCTTACCAATTAAAAGCAAGTGGGAAAACACTGATAACTCTGAAAACGCACTCGGTTAGTATTTATACTGTTACTCATCGAATAAACAGATCTCAAAAAGATAAACAGAATATGTCATCGATTTGTCAAAAACGGTACACTTAATTTTACGGACCTTTCATGAATGTGCATGGATCTTCTTAACAATACACTATATATTTTTCATTATACCAAAGAAAGTCGATTGGTACTCAATATTTGTTAAGCAGATCCACCAACTTGGTTTGAAAGCTTATAGATTTGTTCATTGCCATAAAAGCGACGAAGTTTCCATGAAATGTGTTTCATTTTGTATGAACTCCTTGATGTCTGTTTAGATCGTATGGACGGTGTCATCGGAGTTTCGAAGGGAACCACTGAGAACAAGATGCCGCGTGAGTCGATCGAGGACTTCCTGAACAGCTGCGGTGACTCATACTCGAAACGCAAGTCAAACGCCAAAGCGGGAAAGAAGAGGGTGAGTTTTTCATTTAAAAAACTTTCGTTCTATCCTAAAACTAATTAGAAAAATAACCAAAAAAATTGCATGTAGTTCTTAAGCAGGGGCACAACAGCGGTTTGCCGTGATGAGCTGTACAGCTCGTATGTTGGTCCTATCCCTCGTGGATAAATGATCTTAATAATTTAAAACTAATTTTTATGTCTCAGAAACAGACTTAAACGTATGATTCGTTTCGACAGCATTTCCGGATAATTTTTTGGCAATTAAAATATCATTTGTTTAAAAGCTATAAGTATGAACTTCCAAATACGCGGTCATTTAAATGGCTCATTTTTTGAACAGCATGTTCAGATTGTTGGAAATTCCGTAAAAATAGGACAATCAAACATTCTAATTCAAAAGGTGCGCTGGGCGGACGTCGAGGAGAGACAGGACCTGGAGAAAGAGAAGCGACTGGGATTCATCGTCGGCCATACAAACTGGGACAGGCTGAGGGACGATAACGAGGAGGAACTCACCACACGCGCACTAACCAAGACAAAGTTCATATAACCGACAGGCCATATGGCCGAAAGATGCAGTTTATCCACGCAGTCAGTATCCAAGCAGAAGGGTGTGTATGCAAATATTTATTAGGTTTTGAACGAATATAAATTAAGTTAAATAGAATTCAGAATTGCAAATTTGAAAATGACAGAAGTCGGGAATTGAATTGAACAAATTCTTAACAAACCATCACCTGTTAAGTGTGTCATTCTTACGCGTGTGTTTAGTGAAATAATGGACTACGAGAACTGGCTTTAAGTCAGGCGAATACAATTGAAGCTCCATTACATCATAATGAGTAGCGACAGAGAGTGAGGCCGTGATTTCAGAACTCGTTCAGAAAAATAACGAAAAACTTAAGACACTAACAATAAACGTTTGATTTGAACTCGTATTTAGTTTTCTTTTAACTTCAAAACTTTCTGTAAATGGATTTCAATAATTTTTCTGAGCTAATGAAGATTTAAAAATTTAAAGTTAAACTGTTCAGGTTCGAAGAAGAGACTTGTTGTTAAGTTTAAAAGAGCGAAGTGATTGTTACTTATATAGGTTTGGATGATTTTTTTTCGCGAAAGTCTTGAAATGCTCTAATAACTGAAGATGTGCTTTCATACAACTAAATGCACTTATGTATATATGCATTTTTGAATTCAAGTCAAAGTCATTTGCTAAAAAATTAGCTAAATTGCGCTCTCCAATCATGAAAGCGGAAATGGCGCAAAAAAGAACGATTTTCAAAAGTGGAATTTACTTTTTTGAGTAATTGTTTTTTCTACTCTCATATAAGTCTTGGTGATTTTTTTCAGGTCCAAATATCTCAAATAAGTCGCAAATTTTGTTGCGATAAAATGTGTTCATTTTGAAAGTTCGTTTTAATCATTAACCTATTAGGTAGCTATTAAGTACAGACAATGCTAAGGATTTCAGCATACAACTATTATTGTTACGACTTTCGTGTCGAAAGTATGGGAATATTTGTACTATGGGGGGCATTTTTTTCTTCAGACAAATTTGCTTTTTAACTAGCCATTTTTGACGGCATTTCTTTATTCAAAAAGTATTGTTGTCCTGAGCTTAAATTTGGAAGTATATTTCACCTGTGATTAATTTTCTTTAAGTTATGGGGGTATAAAAGTTGCCAATTTGGGACAATTAAAGCGCGATTTATTTCGCACTGTTAACGCGTAAGCAGAGATTTAATCCGTCAAAGAAATCGCTCCAAATTACTTGAAAAAGCTTATTTGCCATAATTGATTTGTTGCTAGGAGTGAAATCTATCACTTTGTACTCTATCAGTTTTTGTCTTTTTGAACTTTTTTTCAGTTTGAGTACTAATTTACTTCGGCTCTGTTCAACGTCTTCGTGCTTAGTAGCAAATGCGTCAGAGCCAAATCTGTTACAAGTAACGATTTAAAATTTTTAAGAGCTAGATAGATTTTATAGATATGTAACTCATGTCGACTACTCAGCTAAAAAAAATGTTCAAATAAGAAATAAGCGATTCTGCCGCAAACTATGCAAAAATTGGTGGATAGGTAGTTGAACAATTTTCTTTGCTCGCTTTGTTTTACTCAAGATTAGTGGGGTCTTTTCGGTAATACCCTTTTCCCCTAAATGATAAAAATGAAAATAAAGAATTTTCATTAGAAAACTAGACTGAGTAAATTTATAAACACAGTGTTGATATTTTGAATGCTAAATCAAGCTCGAAAAATGCAGAAGTGAAAATTAATCGACAATTGAAAGCGCATCATTTTTCAAATTTTATGTGCAGAAAACAGCGACAAAAAGAAAACAAAAATAAATAAAAACTCAGAGGCTATATCAAATACAAATGTTTCGTTTTCACCAATCATATAACATAAAATTGATGATTTTTTGTAATTATGCCCCATTTTCATTTAAAAAACTTTCATTTTCGTTTAAGGGAGTATACTCGAAATTTTTTAAATGATTACATACAAAAAATTACGGTTCTTTTCTAATAATTAGAAACAGCAGTGGCGTTATTTGTTGATTAAATTTGCCTTCCTGTCTGCGCTTGAATATTGAACATTCTTTTTTGTCAAAAGTTTACTTTTTGGTCCATTTTTTACACAAGCAGAACGTATTGCAATATCCATTTTTATTCCAACCTAAATTGCAAAAAATTCATTTTGATATGCCTTAGTTTTGCTACATATTATATTTTTGTGTGTGGTTTATTGGTAGCTAGTTACTGCTTGATAAGAAAACAGTTTAGAAGAAAATATATGGAAATTATTTTTTTGATTATTATTTTTTGAGACGCTTTGGAATACTTCTGCTCTTTTCGCAGAATTACTGGCTCAATTCTCAAACAACTAGTACCAAAAGAAAAGTCGCCTGCTTGCCTATCTGCTCGCATACTCCCCTGTTCTATTTTTACTTTACTCGACAATCTTCTTCCTTCGAAAAGTACAAAACGGGAATTTTTAAATCGATTCTTTACCCTCGCAATAATCAATGGTTTCGCAATTGGGCGCTGGATTTTTTCCCGTTAACAACTTAATTAACAGAATGGTCAAATTCAGAAATGGCAATTTTACGTCCCGGGTTAAAATTTGAAAGGACCTGTTTTTTTTTTTCAAATGGGAAAAGTTTTTTTCAAAACAATGTCGGGCTATGATTTGTCTGCTTACGTTTCGTCAGCTTAGTTGCGACATTGCCTATTTTTTTAATGTACGTAATTTACATTAGACTTCCTTCTACTCTTGATTTACTTTGCTCTTTGTAATTTTTTGACTTTATTTTTTTTGTTTTTTGCTTGACAAATGTATTGCCCAAATGGTATCGACTGATATTTTACCGGCTTACTGACTTAACCTTAGGTAATTTTAAAGGAAACTTAGTTTTATTATCACTGGATATCCAAAATGCTGAAACTTTAACCTATGCCATATTAAAATGCGTGACACGTATTTTGACATGCTTAAGCGTTTTCTGCCACAGTTAAGGGCATATCGTATATTGCAATGCTTAATTTTTTTTTGCGATTTTCCATTTTGATTCTGGTGTTTGTTCCACCGAGTTAAAAGCTAGCAACACAACGGTGGTATGCTGTCAGAGTTTTCCAGGTTTTGCGAATTTAGCCTCCAATTATGAATGCCAAAATGCTTTTAGTGTACGATATACGACGATTTGTGTAATTTTTTCTAATTTTTTTTTGAAAAATTCAACTTACAAACTTGAAACTCCCAACCCTGTTTTGGCTGCTGTCATGCTGTACGAGTACTTTCAAGATTTGCGAATCTCTCCTCCAAATATGACTGCTCGAATCTTTGTGGTTTTCGAGATGACTTGTGTTATGAATTCTTTCTACTTTTCAGAAATTTGAAACTTCAAAAAAATCAAATTTCCTAATTTTGTTGATGGAAACTGTAAGGGTACTCTCAGGAATTTCAAGGTCCAAATATTACGTCAAAATTCGGCTGCTGAAATGCCCTTAGTTATCGAGATGTGACGTTTTGTGTGATTTTTCAAAAAACTTTCAGAAAAAAAAATAAATTTCTTTTTTAAAGTTTGAAAACCCAACACTCAATTTTAAAGCTGCCAGCATACTCTTGGGGGTTGCAAATCTCACTTTGTTTTTTGACTGTTCAAATCTTTGAAGTTCACCAGATATGACGTTTTTCAAGATTTTCTAAAAAAAAATGTCTGAAAACTTAAACTATCTTGATTTTTCAAATTTTCAATTTTCCAACCCCTTAGTTGGAAGCTTTCAGAGAACTCTCTGGGGTGGCGAATCTCGCCTCCAAATATGACTACTCAAATCTTTTTAGTTTCTGAGATAAGAAGTCGTTTTACATAGTTATTAATTATGATTAAATTTTGAAAGTGCATTTCTTGTAATGAGGGGCTCCCAGAAAATACCAGGGGCTGCGAATTTTGCATTCAACAATGACTGCTCAAATCTTTTTAATTTTGGTTTTTGCAATATGACTTTTTTCGAATTTTTCAAAAAAATTTCAGCAAATTTCAATTTTTTTTCTTCATTTTTTAATTGAAACTTTAAGCCTCCTTACCTGTGATGGGGGACTGACAGAGTATTTTCAAAGGTCTTAAATTTTGCCTCCAAATATGACTGTTCAAGTTTTTTTTATAATTATCGAGATGTGACGTTTTTATGGTTTTTCAATTTTTCGCCCAAAACTTGAAATTGCTAGCCCTGATGTTGGGTACTGTGAGACTACTCTCAAGAGTTGCAAATTTTGTGTCGAAATGCTTTTAGTTTTCAAGATGTGATGTTTTTATGTCATTTTATAGTTTTTTAGAGGACTTAGACTTAAAAAACTTTTAATGTTTCTTTTTCAAAAATTGAATTAGAAAAACTCATAAATAAAAAAACTTAGCAAAATTTGAAATTACGAACCCTGTTATTGGCTGCTGTCAGAGTACATTCAAAGGTTGCAGATATTTTTCAATGTACTTGGTTTTTTTATAGTTGCTCGAAAACTCGAAGCACCGTAGGTGCGGTAAACGCTAATAATAATTAGTTCAAGCTTTTCAGGACAATTTTTTTGGATTGATAGGTTTATTATATCAGCTTAAATACTGGATTTCACTGGATTAACATTATCTACTGGATTTCAATTTTTAAACATAGGCAAGAAATGTTTGAAAAATGTTCTTGCCTATGTTTAAAATTTGAAATCCAGTAGATAATGTTAGGTGTTTGAGTTGTTGAAAAGAATAAAATAGTGTTTTTTTTCTGCCCTTCGAATATTTTAAAGCTTAGAAAAGACAATAAATTTCAAACTTTTAATTTTTTTAAATTCTGGCTCTGTATATGTTCATTTTTCAGCGTTCGGTAGGTTTTTTTCCTTGAAACTCGAGAACTAAAAGTTAAGAAAATTGCAATCGTTTTTTTACGCTTCCCACGAAACCGATAGGTTTATTTTTTCTTTTTGTTGGATACGTTTTTTTTTATTTCAACACAAAACTCCATAAGGTCGGACTGAGTATCAAATATAAATACTTTCAGTTTTACCTTTGCATTTCACTATTCTTATTTCAATTTGTATCATTTATTGAATACCTAAAATTTTTGAAAAAGGACATAATTTCCACGTGTTGGAAAAAAAAAGTTGGAAAATATTTAAGCAAGCAAAGCAAACGAGTATGTCTTACAACAGAATATAATAGTATTACGAAAAAATTTGAGCCATGAATTTATTTAAAATCAGTAAGAATAGATTGAAAAGTTTCTTCTGTAAAATTTGTGAATTTTTTTATTTTATTTTCATTTTTCGAGCACAAAAATAGTCATGTTCTAAATTACCGAGAAAGCAGCTATTTTTGTCTTTGCTTTCGGACTGTATTTTATAAATCAAATTTCACGAATGAAGCTGTTTAAAATTTAAATATTGTTCTTTGCTTGAAGATTTTCTCGCATTGTTTGATTTTTGATTCGTGAAAGCAAATTTAGCTTGCTTTGATTGCTTGTTCTTACTTTTATTTTAACATAATGTCAGTGAATTATGATTAAGGATGAGTATATCAATTTTTCATCAATTTAGATAAAATCGCAGAACGAAGAAAAAATTGTCTTTCGATGTTTTCTTTTGCTTAACTAGCTCTATGCAACAATTTTATTTGCTTTATTGTGTTGATTGAGACTTAAGCTTTTCTGTTTCTACGATTTTTGTGCGTTTAATTTTGCATATATTGGGTTTAAAAAATTGATTTTTCGATTTCAAGTTCATTTCTCTTAAGCTGAGCTCTGAAACTTCAATGTTATTTTTATTCAGATTACTTGTCTACTATGACTTTCTTACGTCTGTTCATACACAACCGGCTGTTTCTTTGAAAATATTGTGAAAATATATTAATACAAAAAATAGATTTCCCAGCAGAACAAAAATTGACCTTTTCACCTTGTATTTACCCCTGCGATAAACAAGGGTAATGCAACCGGGTACTAGACTTTTCCCGTAATTAAATCGAAACTCATTTCAGGATTCACTTGGACTCTTTTCCTCTGTTAGCAACAAAGTTACGGCTGCAGATACTTTTTGATGCATGGTAGCATTTTAAGTATGTCCCATTCAAAATTTTATTTTTATGCTGGATGCAATTTTACCGACTCGATTTATTACAACTTATTTTTTTCCCCTCTCGTTCTACTTGATAGGTTTCGACCTATACTATACAGGTTTAGTGGCCTCATATTGTTCATTTACAAGCAAGAAAAATTTTGTGTCCGCGTTTGAGAGAGAGGGCGACTTGTTAGCTTTTTATAAATCATCAGATTTTTTTATTTTATTTTCAATTTTCGAGCACAAAAGTAGTCATGTGTCTAAATTACCGAGAAAGCAGCTATTTTTGTTTTTGCTTTCGGACTGTATTTTTTAAATCCAATTTCACGAATGACGCTGTTTAAAATTTAAATATTGTTCTTTGCTTGAAGATTTTCTCGCATTGTTTGATTTTTGATTGAAAGCCTTTGATACATTGGATCATGAACTACTTTTACACAAATTAGAAAACTACGGAATAAGAGGAGTGTGTAATGATTGGTTTCGAAATTATCTCTGCAATCGTAGGCAATGTGTGTTCACAAATTCCGTTTACTCTGATTGGACAAATGTTTCGCATGGAGTTCCGCAAGGTTCCGTGATCGGTCCGTTATTGTTCTTAATATATATTAATGATATGCCCAATTGCGTAAAAGACACAACCGTTTACCTATTTGCAGATGATACCAATGTCACTTGTGAAAACGAATCTTTCGAGTTCTTCACCAACGACATACAAAATATGTGTTACTGGCTAAATAGAAATAAGCTAACACTTAATGGAGACAAATCAATATTACTAAGTTTCAAAATAAAGCAAGTGCTTTCAGTCTTCAGTTGTGCATTAACAATTATATGGTTACTTCGAAGGCGTATTGCAAATATCTAGGTATTTTTGTGGATTCAAAACTGTCATTTTGTACGCACGTTGAAAAAGTAAAAGCGAAACTAGGAAGGCATAGTGGAGTTATTGCTCAAATGAGAAAATTTGTACCGATAGATGTGCTAATAAAATATTATTGTTACAACATCAAGCCCATTATACAATATGGATTACTTGTTTATGGGGGAACGAGCTTCTCGAATCTCAATCCAATTTTCCTTTTGCAGAAAAAAATAATTCGAATGATTTACAAGGTAAGGAAATTTGATAGTATTAGGGAAAGGTTTAGAGAACACAATATCTTAACAGTTCATAAGCTGTATGTGTACGATCTTCTCAAATTTTGCTTAAGATCAATAAACAAGTTGAATTCAACCGCATTTCTTAACGATTTTTTCACTCTGAAAACAAAATCGGCTTATTTTACCAGAAAATCTATAGGTATTCAATTTGAAGCTCCTTGCTGTAAGGCAAAAACGAAAAGACAATCGATATGGTTAAGAGGATGCAAACTGTTGAAGATATTTAGTGATAATAACTTGCTCCCGGAAAATGTTTTAAACTTAAAATAAGGGGAACTAAATAATTTGGCACATATGCTAAGAGATACGTTTATACATGAAAATTACGAACTTGTTAGATATATTTTTGCTTTATGATTATAAATATGACTGTGTTCAAGTGCGGGGTGAGGCGGCTCGAACTGTTTTCTTTCAGAAGACCAGGCGTTGTCTCCGGGCAACATAGTTTAATACTATTCAAGTCTGAGTATGGGTATACAGTTTCGGGTTGTTTTGCTTTGCACCTAAAGGACATAGTCATATTTCAAGAAATTGTGAAAAATGGTCAAAAAGAGGGCGTTACTCTGCCCAAATTTCAAGAGAATTTAAGGGCTTTTTTTCGCGAGGTGGATGAGGCGTTAAATAGCTTCTAAAAAACTTATAATTTTTTCTTTTTGCTAATTGGTTTCATAAATATTATATTTATCACTTTTTCATAACTAATTGATGTGCTTTGTTGTGTAATCTATGAGGTACGCTCCTAGTGGGTTTGAAGAAAACTCTTTGCGTATCCTCACTTAACAATCTTGGGTAAACTGTTGATTCATTTATTATGTGATAAAAAATATACTTTTTGTTTAATGTAATAGTGTATCTGATTGTTAAGTGAAATAAATTCTTCTTCTTCTTCTTCTTCAGTTTTTTTGTAATTTTTTCTGCTTAAAGAGTTTCTATTAAGGTATTTTTGGCTTTGAAGCCGCTTGGTTAATTTTCTTTCGAGGCTAGTTTTACATTATCTTGTTTTGACATGTTTTAGTCAAAACTAGTCTTATTAATTTTGATTGAATTTTTCATAATTTTCGAATTTTTGACGATTTTTTTGTTCTGTATCGCAGGTTGTACGAAGCTCAGCTTGGCATCTGTGTCTCAGTTTAAGTTAATAGCGTCAAAAAAGTTGCAACAACAAAGTGTGCAAAATTCCATGATTTTTCAAAACATGACAACACATACATCCAAAAATGTTTGTAAACTCCTACGTTCGAGATGAAAAAAGAAATTCAGCTTGAAGCTTTGGAATTTTGTTCACGGTTTATGTTTTCAACGCTTTAGATGCAACTAACTTAATTTGAGAAAGTAAGGTAAGCCAATTTTTGGATATTTGTCATTTTCTAACTCTTGTCATGTTTTGGCATATTGTATTCTCAGTTATCAGGCTTTTGAATATGCATTTAACACAGAGTCGAATGAGAAAAGTTCACAAAATACCTCGAAACATAAAACTTGGTACTTTGAAGTCTCACTTTCCTCTATCTGCACGATGCCGATCTGAAAATGAACTAACACCAGTCACCAACTGAGCAGCTACAGATGGTAATAAATTATCATTATTATGCAGCAAAAGAGCCACCAAATTCAAGTAAAACTATAACTAAGTGCGAATTGAACAGCAGAACTGTTGATAACGAGTCTAAAGTCTTTTTATCTATGCCACCGTCGCATGAAAAAAGGCTAACATAAGCCAACAATAAAGATGAGAACAGATGCTATTAAAATGCCAATGCTATAGATCGTGATAAAGACAGAAATTCCATTAAAGGAACATTTCTATTTACAAGTCAGGTTGAGAAAAAAGTAGATTAATTCTATCACAATAGCGCTTGTGTAAACAAACATAGCCAACATACAGCTAAGGAACGCAAGTAAACAGAGAAATGACACCAAATGCAACCAACTTTTTTTAAAATCAAACTACGAATTTCAAAAAAAATGGATGCCCTTGAAGCCATTTGAATTTCTGGAACAATTTATAATGGGCTTTTCAAATAAATTTAACCCAATTTGAGAAAACTGGATCCATGGGTAAAGTTTTATTTCGCTGGGAAATCTGATAATTTAATTTCGTTTTCGAAAGTAAAATTCGCTCACGTTTTTTGTGACCTTAACATTTTTCCTGTCCTTTTAACGAAGGAAATGAAAAAAAAAACTTTCAAAAATCTCAAGTCAAACAGAAAAAAAATTGAGCGTAAAATTTTAAGACTTTTTCCTGAAAAAAAATCACCAAGACCTATATAATAGTACTCACTACCATCATTTCTTTTAAAATGGATCTCTAAAAGCTAATTAACTCTTAGCATTTCTTCTAAAATGTGCGTCTTTGGTTGAAATTAAAAGTGTTGATCTTGTTACACAATCCAATCCAATCCACCTCGTGTAAAATTCGATTTAAGCATAAAAATTGTTGTGCGTTTCAACGTTGACGTCGCCCAGATGATATTCCAATTCTTATGTTGAAAACTACTGAAAAGACGGCAAACTAAACGGCTCAAATTCAGTTACAATAACATCACACCAGCTAACTTATCATCCACAATATCAGCAACAACTTTTCACTAACGACAAAATTGAAACTAGCACAGCTCAGCAGAGTAATAAAGGGAGGAGCAGGCCAGCACAACAGTCACATTGCATCTATTTTCACTATTATTATTAGTTATATCATTACCAAATATTATAACAAATTCAACTATTTGTATATTAAATCTGCAGTGGATTTTGATGGAATTTTGAGATAGAACAGTTTTATCAGCAGTTTTCAAATTGAATATTAGAGACAAAGAACTGAGTCTTTGCAGTTTCAAACTTTTTAAACCCTCTTCAATGAACAGTTGGGATTGCAAAATATAGATTCCATTCCGTTGCCACTTTGGTTTCCCATTTTAGGTGTCTGACATTGAGAGTAAATTGTGTTGTAGTTTTGAATTGTGTCTTGTGGTCTGTCGGTGTTGTGTAATAAGGAGAGAGAGAGATGGGGAAAGGGGGAGATTGAGATAATGAAATGATGAAGTCAGACCATTTTGAATTGCAGAAGAGAGGTGGGGAAGAATGGCTCCAACTTCATTGCCATGTAAGAGAAAGGAGAAGCGATTGCTGAGAAGAACTAAAACACAGCAGCTTCTTTCAACACAATGCAAACCATATTAGTTAATCGTCTTGTCAAAAAAAGTCCGATCTATTCCAAAACAGAAAAACTGGAATATAGAAGCAACGCTGAACTTCAAAGTTTTCACCTTCAAAACAAACAACCTAATACTACGGGAGTCGAAACTAGGCAAAATTTATTAAGTAAAATTTATAATTTATCGACAAAAAAATCGGATGTCGTAAATAGCATGCACGCGAGTCTAGTGGCGTTCAGGGGCAGTGATGTCACCTTATTATCTATTCAACCACCAGCGGATTTAGGGGTGCGGTCCCCCTCCCCTCAAGGAGTCGACTCCCTGCGACACCATGGGTCCCCCCATAGCACTATTTTGAGATATTCATTTTTGGCTGACTGACCCTAAAATTTTCTAAAGGCGCCTAATTTTAAGGGAGGGGGGGGGGTCAAAGCGCGCACCAAAAAACGCGATTTTGTGGTCAAAATTTCCCAAAAACTGCCTGCAAACGCCTTTTATCAAAATTTGCCTGTGACGCAGAAATTTTGGTCAAAATGGGGTCTTTATAGTGATTTGGGAGAGCTCAGAAAATCAATTTTGTCGATCTAAAAAAAAAGGTCGACAAAACTTTTTGAAAAGATTTTTGAAAATCCCCTCTCCTCGAAAAAATCCTAGATCCGCCCCTGTTTTAACGTTTCACAAGTTCCAAAAACACTTCTATATCATTGTCTGTCCTATAATTTAGAAACGAAAATATTTGGATAATTTTTCAGGGTAGGATCTAGGAGTTTCTCGAACATTAGAGTCGGCTTCGTAAATCAACAGAAATACGGTGCCAATTCGGTTGTACTTGATCAGTTAACTTGCAAGCGCTAGAATCTAAATTTTCTGATACAAAAGACTGAGTTTCTGCAGAGTGCAAAATAAAGGCTTGAGATGAATAGCACTGGATTAATATATATGACTCCTCAAAGTAGCATCGGCTACGGAGAAATGGCTGACATCCCCCTCCCCCTCCCCCACAAGGAGTCCTGCATTGCGTAGGACCGGGGTTAAAAAGTATACGATGTATGACTCACTACTGATGCTGCGGCGCCCATGTTCTGTGGGTACTGGTGGGTTAGGAATGCGAGTGCAGCTGTAATGGTGCACAGAGCAGCCGTGAACACGATGAAGAAGGGCAGCTCCTTCTTCGGGTACACTGACAGAGGGTGAAAGTGGGGCAACAGCTCCCTGTCTGCCGTCTCTGTGCACGAGGGGTACGGGTAGAACAGATGGCCCTTCTCCAGTGGGTAGGGGATCATACGAAACGCTAACCAAACAAGCATGTCATATTCTACTGTCATCGTTACGTAATTGTTTTTTCTTGATAATCGTTACGGAATTATTTTTGCATTTGTAGCAAAAAAAATTGTTAGGTTCTGAAGAAAGGGGCCATCAAACTCACTTGCCCAGTTCTCTCTGTGCTTCGTATTCAACTATTTAAAGAAGATCTACCTTCTACTGCAAGCTGATGGATACTACTCAATGTTTTTATCCTCAAATTTTGGGGTCCATGATTCAGATCTGAATAGTGAGCATATCTAGTTTTGGGGTGTTCCATGTCAATTTTAACTATCCTATTGCTTACACAACTATCCTTTAAACGTGATTTTTCTGAAAATTCAACTACCATAATTACATCAACAGTAGTGACTCTAACTTGTCTACCACGTGATGTATAATGAGTTACGAAAAGATACATAGTCCCATTGCACAAAAAAAATCATGGACAGAATACATGCACGTTTAATTGCAAAGGCACTAACTTCCCTCTCCCCTTGTCCCTCCCACAAGCAGTAAAAAGATTAGATGTGATTTCATAAGTGACTTTAGCGCAAAAAACAAGGATAGCTCAGATGTATAGAAGTTATATTAAACAAAGTAGTGTTACTCACTTCCCTCCCACGTGCAGTGCAGTAGATTGAGTGCGCCCTCCACTCTCTTCCAGTGTCTGAGGTGGAAGAAGGCGTAAGCTATGGCCTCGGAGTCCCCCCTCTTCAGAATGTGTTCGGGGGGCAGGATGAGGGGCTTCGTCTCCAGAAGATACTTGGGCACGTGGGGGTTGAACTCCACTGCTCTGTGAATGGCGTCTACTGCCTGCAGCTCGCTCTGGTTCAGACCACGCTTCGAAGCTACTTCAGGAGAAAACCTGCAAAACACATCGCAATCTACTCAATATAACATAAAACATGAATAAGTACTAACAAACAGTAGATACTAGTTCTATTCAAGACTGGGCGACAATTCGTAACCGGCGACTATTCATAAAAACTCATTGTTAAGTAGCGAACATTGGCAAGCTCTACGTAGCGTACAACCGGCACGAGTGGTATTGAGTGCATTAGCCGTGTTTGCCGCTTAACCTACTGCTGCCAAATGTCGTCTGTTAAGAATTGCCGCCTCACGACTCATTAAAGTAATAGAATCTTTTGTTCGCAAATACAAACACTGACAGTTGGAAAAGAGTAATGAACGCAACGAAACTGAAAAAAAACTGACTCGTTTTTTGAAAAACCTTCAAATTTTGAATTTCGAAGAAAAAAATAGATGGCGTTAAAGCTCTTTGAATTTGTAGAACAATTTATGATGGACACTTTTTTGTTATAACAAACCCAATTTGAGAAAACTGGACCAATAAGCAAAACGTATATTTCGCTGGGAAATCTGATAATTAATTTCCAATTTCGAAATTAAAAGTCGATCACGTTTTTCGTGACCTTAAAACTTATGCTGTTCGATAGTGGAGTTTGCTTTCCTTTTAACAAAGAAAATGAACGGAACTTTTAAAAAACCACAAGTCGAACTGCGAAAAATCAAAATTGAACAAATTTTAAGACTTTTTCCTAAAAGAAAACAAATCAGCAAGACCTATACAAGAGTAGTTACTACGTTCATTACTCTAAAAAGATACTTTGGAATTTAATCACATTCAATTGTTCTTCCAAAACTTGTTGAGCTGCGGCAATAAAGACAGAAGTTCCGCATAACTTGAAAATTTTGTTGCAATAAATAAATCTACACACAAAAAGCTTTTAAAAACAAACAATTTCCCTGTTCTTCAATTAGAAATAACCAAAAACAAATAATTGCATATAGTTCTTAAACAGGGGCACAACAGCGGTTCGCCGTGATGAGCTGTACAGCTCTTGTTTTGGTCCTTTCCCCCGTGGATAAATGATCTTAATTATAGAAATAGCTAGCTTGTTCTAGTTTTGAAATTAACCATAAAGAAACTACCAAGAATCCACCCCAATATATAAAACCGTTCATCACGAGCCAATTAAGTACCTATTAACAAATTTCCCTCCCCTCGATAGGGGAGTATATGATAAATGAGATGTAAAATATTTCTGGGATCAGATCACATAAAATAGACACAGAATGTTCTTTTCTACTCACTTGTCTGCGACCTGTCTAGATTTAAGTAATGCTGACGTATAACAGATTGTGGCTGACTTCGGCAACGAGATGTCTAAAACAACCAAATTTTTCTTAACTTTGCAGCTTAGTCATAATTCCTTATCCAGAAAAATTGAGTGAAAATTTCGTGAGTCAAACCGCACAGCGAGTCAGACTTGTTTGTAAAGGAATATTCATGTTCACGGCAGTTTCAAAAACTTTTGAGCTGCTTGAAAAATTGTTAATTTTATCAGTCCGACAAAATAAAATGCTCCAAATATTCTGAATAAAAACATCAACTCCTGATAATTAAACAAACGCATTTAAATTTACCGTCGTATTTTGTGAGTATACTAAGACAGTCGCCGTAGTTATTGAGCTCTAGTAGACAGTCTATGTAGTTCTCGTGTATGTTCAGGATACTCGTGTGTTCCTTCATCAGATCCTTGAACACTTTGGCCGCTTCCTTCGTCTTGCCTAGTTTTCTAGCACACATGCCCAGCCGTCTCTTAATGTACACCAACACATTCAAGTCTCTTCCTAAAAATTACACAAAAACTTAACTCGGATCTTATTGTCATTTCCTCCCCTGTGGTACCTTGTAAAGAATTACCCCCCCCCCCCCTATCAAGAAAGAATTAAACTGTTCAGCCTTTACGATTTTTGTACCATGTAACGAATTGGCCCCCTATTGAATTGGTCCAACTCTATCAAAAAAATTATATTGTTCATCAATCATCATAATAACCAAACCAATTTTTCAAAGGAATGTGACGTTGATCTGAAAACACGAATCAGACTAAGATTCTACTAGGTCCAATTAATAACAAAAAACTATTTCAGCACCAGTTCCATTGTGAATTCATATTCTTCATACTTCTGTTTAAAATTGAAATCTGCACTAACTGTTGATTGCTTCGTACTCGGGTGTGTGCGCGTATATACTAGATTTCTTGAAGTTCTGTTCTGCATTGATGTGTGCTTCTTTGAATAACTTCTCCGCATCCAGAATAGTACACGCTTCCTCTTCCGCTAGTAAAATCTGTGCTGTAACGCAGCTGAAATACAAATGATCAAAATAAACAAGGCTGAGTGTATATCAAAATTGTTCATATCAAATGTGTGTACAAAGATCAAACTAACCAATTTGATCTAATTTTCCTTCAAGCGGATTTTTGTCTATTTTTTCTCATTTCTCTACGTAAATTTCACAAATTGGCTAAATAAATGCTTTTTAAGTGTCAATGAAGGTAATGAAAGCATTTTTATATGTCGCGTTCTTTTTTTTGCTCGAAAAAATGTTCAGAAGTTTTTTTTTCACGCAAAAAATGATCTTTTGCGGTTTGACTACAGGATTGGCTATCACAATGGGCTTTGAATTCAATACAATTGACATAGGAAGACAAATTACGCCCACTTACAAAAAGCCGAAATAGTACGAGGAAAATCTGAACGAGTTTTAACTTAGAAAGTGGAGCTCTCAGTGCAATAAAAAGATTACTTATTGATCCAGTTTTCTTAGATGATATTTGTTCTTGAAATTCAAAAAAATTTTTGACTGAAATTGTTTCTTGTTGAACCTCGAAAGTTAACGTTTGTTTTTTCAAAAAATAATTCAGTATTTTTCTTTTTTTTTGCGTTCATTTTCATTTTTCCTACTGTTAGTTGGCTATGTTTTAAATGTCGTTTAATATATTTTCATGCAACAATTCACATTGATACGACACTCAATCAGGCAGTAAAATTGATCCAATTTTGTAATTGCACTGTTGAGATCAAGTGTTTTTAATCGAGAACGATACTTTTTCCCGTAAACAATTTTTCATACAAATCTGTGAGACATTGATTTTGCTTCATTATTGAACTTAAGTTCTTCCAGGCTCCTTACTATTTTGCTCTTCGGTTGCTTTTTCACCATATGGTTTGAAAGTTATGGTTCATTAAAAACGCAAAATCAATTTTTTAAAAGATTTTTTTTTCGCTTAAATAAGCTCTATCATACTTATTCGAAAGGTTGCCTTTGTACCCTGAGTTCGAATCTCGACGGGATTTTTTTTTTCAATTGCATTAAATTGAAAAAAAAAATTCGGGAAAACTGAATTGTCAGGCTTTCGTTTCTTTGCTCATATTTTTTTGGCTTATTTCTTCCATTACGAATTTTTCCAGCATAAATTAGTTACGGGTTGATGATTTACTTTGGTAATTTGTAAATTTGCTTGCACTAACTAAGTAAATTTTCGTTTTTTCGCTTAAAAGCTTTATTCGGCATAAATAGTTTCGGCTTATGTTTCTCGGATCTTAAAAACGATTTTGTGTCGTTTAAAAGCAAAAATTTGATTATTATTTTAGGCAAAAAAATACAAGAGGGTTGTGGTGTAAAAGTTTCAAGTTTGCAATTTTGATAAAATGACAATTATTTCTGATGTCACTCTGGTACGCAACTCAGCCTTGCTGTATAATTGATTCACTTTTGTAAATACACTCATAAGAACAAGTGTCGTGTAATCGGGAACGGGACTTATTTTTATATAAAGTAAACAGCTTTTCTTAAAAACCTCCAAGAAAATGAACTTGCCTTTTTATTGAACCCTTGTTGAAACAAGCGTTAGCTTTCAAGATTCAACAAAAAATAAATTCAGTCTAAAAACTTTTTGAATTTCAAGAATAAATATCATCTGAGAAAACTGGATCAATAAGTAATTTTTTATTGCACTGAGAGCTCCACTTTCGAAGTCAAAACTCGTTCAGATTTTTCCGTGCTATTTCCGCTTTTGTAATGGGGCGTAATTTGTCTTCCTATATCAATTGTATTGAACTCAAAACGAAATCATATCGCTGAAAGCCCATTGTGAGTAAGAAACCGCAAAAGATCAATTTTGGTAGTCAAACCGCAAAAGATCAATTTTGGCGTGAAAAAAAATTCTGAAGATTTCTCATTAAAAATGCCTTCACTACGTTCATTGACACTTAAAAAGCAATTATTTATCCAATTTGAGAAATTTCCGCGGAGAAATGACAAAAAATAGACAAAAACCCGCTTGAAGGAAAATCAGATCAAATTGATTAGTTTGATCTGTCTTATATAATATCCTTCTTTCTCAGTAATTTCGACCTCAATCTGTGATAAAAACTTTAAGTTTTCCTTTTTCATTATTTTTTCTCCATTTACAATGAGCAGATCTAAAGATCTACAGTGCTGATTTAAATTAACCGGACAAAACTCGTTAAACTTGAAATTTAAAACGCATTTTTCTCAAATTGGGTTGAATTTAAGAGAAAACGTATGAAGACAAAATTTGCTTAAAATTTTAGCAGAATTAATATGATGTAATTTGTTTTGCAAATTTGGGGTCCAAAGTTTTACCCCAAAACTGGTTGATTTTGGCTTTTCTAAGTTTACCATATGGTTTGGAAGTTATGGTTCATTAAAAACGCAAAATCAATTTTTTAAAAGATTTTTTTTTCGCTTAAATAAGCTCTATCATACTTATTAGAAAGGTTGCCTTTGTACCCTGAGTTCGAATCTCGACGGGATTTTTTTTTCAATTGCATTAAATTGAAAAAAAAAATTCGGGAAAACTGAATTGTCAGGCTTTCGTTTCTTTGCTCATATTTTTTTGGCTTATTTCTTCCATTAAGAATTTTTCCAGCATAAATTAGTTACGGGTTGATGATTTACTTTGGTAATTTGTAAATTTGCTTGCACTAACTAAGTAAATTTTCGTTTTTTCGCTTAAAAGCTTTATTCGGCATAAATAGTTTCGGCTTATGTTTCTCGGATCTTAAAAACGATTTTGTGTCGTTTAAAAGCAAAAATTTGATTATTATTTTAGGCAAAAAAATACAAGAGGGTTGTGGTGTAAAAGTTTCAAGTTTGCAATTTTGATAAAATGACAATTATTTCTGATGTCACTCTGGTACGCAACTCAGCCTTGCTGTATAATTGATTCACTTTTGTAAATACACTCATAAGAACAAGTGTCGTGTAATCGGGAACGGGACTTATTTTTATATAAAGTAAACAGCTTTTCTTAAAAACCTCCAAGAAAATGAACTTGCCTTTTTATTGAACCCTTGTTGAAACAAGCGTTAGCTTTCAAGATTCAACAAAAAATAAATTCAGTCTAAAAACTTTTTGAATTTCAAGAATAAATATCATCTGAGAAAACTGGATCAATAAGTAATTTTTTATTGCACTGAGAGCTCCACTTTCGAAGTCAAAACTCGTTCAGATTTTTCCGTGCTATTTCCGCTTTTGTAATGGGGCGTAATTTGTCTTCCTATATCAATTGTATTGAACTCAAAACGAAATCATATCGCTGAAAGCCCATTGTGAGTAAGAAACCGCAAAAGATCAATTTTGGTAGTCAAACCGCAAAAGATCAATTTTGGCGTGAAAAAAAATTCTGAAGATTTCTCATTAAAAATGCCTTCACTACGTTCATTGACACTTAAAAAGCAATTATTTATCCAATTTGAGAAATTTCCGCGGAGAAATGACAAAAAATAGACAAAAACCCGCTTGAAGGAAAATCAGATCAAATTGATTAGTTTGATCTGTCTTATATAATATCCTTCTTTCTCAGTAATTTCGACCTCAATCTGTGATAAAAACTTTAAGTTTTCCTTTTTCATTATTTTTTCTCCATTTACAATGAGCAGATCTAAAGATCTACAGTGCTGATTTAAATTAACCGGACAAAACTCGTTAAACTTGAAATTTAAAACGCATTTTTCTCAAATTGGGTTGAATTTAAGAGAAAACGTATGAAGACAAAATTCGCTTAAAATTTTAGCAGAATTAATATGATGTAATTTGTTTTGCAAATTTGGGGTCCAAAGTTTTACCCCAAAACTGGTTGATTTTGGCTTTTCTAAGTTTACCATATGGTTTGGAAGTTATGGTTCATTAAAAACGCAAAATCAATTTTTTAAAAGATTTTTTTTTCGCTTAAATAAGCTCTATCATACTTATTAGAAAGGTTGCCTTTGTACCCTGAGTTCGAATCTCGACGGGATTTTTTTTTTCAATTGCATTAAATTGAAAAAAAAAATTCGGGAAAACTGAATTGTCAGGCTTTCGTTTCTTTGCTCATATTTTTTTGGCTTATTTCTTCCATTACGAATTTTTCCAGCATAAATTAGTTACGGGTTGATGATTTACTTTGGTAATTTGTAAATTTGCTTGCACTAACTAAGTAAATTTTCGTTTTTTCGCTTAAAAGCTTTATTCGGCATAAATAGTTTCGGCTTATGTTTCTCGGATCTTAAAAACGATTTTGTGTCGTTTAAAAGCAAAAATTTGATTATTATTTTAGGCAAAAAAATACAAGAGGGTTGTGGTGTAAAAGTTTCAAGTTTGCAATTTTGATAAAATGACAATTATTTCTGATGTCACTCTGGTACGCAACTCAGCCTTGCTGTATAATTGATTCACTTTTGTAAATACACTCATAAGAACAAGTGTCGTGTAATCGGGAACGGGACTTATTTTTATATAAAGTAAACAGCTTTTCTTAAAAACCTCCAAGAAAATGAACTTGCCTTTTTATTGAACCCTTGTTGAAACAAGCGTTAGCTTTCAAGATTCAACAAAAAATAAATTCAGTCTAAAAACTTTTTGAATTTCAAGAATAAATATCATCTGAGAAAACTGGATCAATAAGTAATTTTTTATTGCACTGAGAGCTCCACTTTCGAAGTCAAAACTCGTTCAGATTTTTCCGTGCTATTTCCGCTTTTGTAATGGGGCGTAATTTGTCTTCCTATATCAATTGTATTGAACTCAAAACGAAATCATATCGCTGAAAGCCCATTGTGAGTAAGAAACCGCAAAAGATCAATTTTGGTAGTCAAACCGCAAAAGATCAATTTTGGCGTGAAAAAAAATTCTGAAGATTTCTCATTAAAAATGCCTTCACTACGTTCATTGACACTTAAAAAGCAATTATTTATCCAATTTGAGAAATTTCCGCGGAGAAATGACAAAAAATAGACAAAAACCCGCTTGAAGGAAAATCAGATCAAATTGATTAGTTTGATCTGTCTTATATAATAT